GAGGGACAATGGCTAGAATGTCGTTGAGGGGAAGGAGGGGGTTGGGGGGTTAGGGCTAGGGGAGGGGGTTATTAATACATTATAAATATAAACCCAATTTTTTTAAAATATCACACCATTCACACTCAGCTCTCAAATCTCAATTTCTCATTTTCAATCTATTCCTCATTTCCTCTCTAATTCTCTACTAATCCCTATTATCTCTCTTCAATATTTATACATTTTATATTCATATAATAATATAAATATATATTAATATACTCCCTCCGTCCCTGAAAACCTTTCTCCTTTCTTTTTTTATCCGTCCAAAAAACACTTCTCATTTCTATTAAAAAGTTACTTTTACCCCTTACTTTTTCATACCCTACCTATCACATCATATCTTTTTACTAATAATCTATCCATCAAATCTTACTTTTACCCATCACATCAAAGGTCATTTTTGGAAATTCAATACCAAAATACACTCCCTTAAATCCCTCTTCAAAATCAAAACTCTCATGTTTTTCGGGACGGAGGGAGTATTATATAATATATAAATATATACTCATATAATATTAAATTTTTAGTCATACATTCATTATTCATATAATCATATTATCATATTGTTAAAGTGTATCCATCATCGGAACTTGAAGAGAAAATAAATCAGTATATAAGCCCTTGAGTTGAACTAACTAATCGATTGGATTCAATCTTTTAATGTGGTTCAGCCCAAGTGTCTTATAGCCCAATCCAATTGTCCATACCCATCTCAAATTCTAACTTGGTATCAGAGAAGGTTTTGGCCCAACTCGTTTGTCAAGGTGTCCGTCTAGACGTTCATTCCTAGCGGCCCGTTTGTCTTTAGCCCAATTGTCCGTATGGAGTATGTACCCAACAGCCTGTGGCCCATTTAACACGATTGCTCGTCTGGAAGTCCTTTAGGTGTTGGCGCTCTAAAAATAAAAAGTCAAGGGAATGGGAGTTCATTTGCAAGTGGTCAACCGGTTAGATTCAAAATGGCCCAGTTGTCCACTTGAGGGGGAGTGTTAAAGAGTATCTCACATCGGAACTTGAAGAGAAAATAAACCGGTATATAAGCCCTTGAGTTGAACTAACTAATCGATTGGATTCAATTTTTTAATGTGGTTCAGCCCAAGTGTCTTATAGCCTAATTCAATTGTCCATACACATCTCAAATTCTAACACATATATTACTATTTACTCCATTCCAATGCTCCTTTCCTGGATTAGAAAAGAAGTGCTTACTGCACCAATTGCATGAGCTAAATCTGACCTTGTGCAAACCATTGCATACATCAAAATTCCTACTGCAGATGCATAAGGAATACGTCGTATCTCTACCTTCTCAGCATTATTAGATGGGGATTGTTTTGAACTAAAATTAAAATGTGTAGCAAGAGATATGCTAACCACTTTAGCTTTTCAATTAGGAATCACTGAAGCACTTTTTTAATGTACTTCCCTTGAGACAACCATCCCTTTCTTACCTTGTTATCACGTGTGATCTGCATGTCAAGAATTTATTTTGCTGGTCCCAAGTCCTTCATCGCAAAGGACTTACTAAGTTCTATTTTCAGCTTAGCAATTTTGGAAGAGTTATGACCATCAATAAGCATGTCATCAACATAAAGTAACAAAAAACACAATAATTAGAAATACTCTTCTTATATCCTTGCTGGACCATCACAGATTCAAACTTCTTGTACCATTGCCTGGGAGCTTGTTTCAAGCCATACAAGCTCTTCTTTAACTTGGAAAGGTAGTTCTCCTTGCCCTTCACCACAAAACCTTCCGGTTGCTCCATGTAGATTTCCTTCCTCAAATCACCATGAAGGAATGCTGTCTTGACATCCATATGTTCATCTTCCAAATCAAGGCTGGCTGCAAGACTCAAAACATCTCGAATTGAGGACATCCTCACAACTAGAGAAAATATTTCTTCATAGTCAATACCCTTTAACCACTAGTCTAGCCTTGTATTATGGAGATGAAGCACCATGTTCATTCTTCAACTTATAGATCTACCAATTCTTCAAAGCTTTTTTTTGTCTTTAGGGAACTTCACTAGCTCAAAATTATGATGATCATGCAATGATTTTAATTCATCATTCATTGTCTCAACCCATTTATCCTTATCCTCGTTCTCCATAGCCTCTTCATAAAACTCAGGTTCTCCCTCGTTAGTAAGGAGCACATACTCATTAGTAGAATAATGAGTAGAGGGAATTCTCTCCCTTGTAGACCTCCTGAGAGAAACTATAGCTGCATTATTATCCACATGAGGTTGATTATGTACCTTATTTGAATGTTCTTCACCATTACCATCAACAAAATCATGTGGGACATGATTATTATCATCATTCTGATCTTCATTATTGATTGCATCGGGCATATGAGATAGGGTAGTTGGATTCAAATCAACAACATCATCATAACTTTGAGACTCTGACTTTTCCATTTTCCAAATATCTTCAATATTCTGATCCTCCATAAAGATAACATCGCGGCTTCTGACATGCTTCTTCTCAGCAAGATCATAAAGTCTATAGCCACATTCATCATGACCATTGTAATGCCCCGAAACCCGGATTAGAATTTTTAATTAATTTATATAATTAATTAATTACTGAGATAAGAAGATTTATTTTCTAATTTGCATATTTAATATAAGAGTTGACTAAAGTTGTAGGGCTCGCTGTTCTGAACCCGACCGCGCAAACAAATCGTGAATCAGACTTAATGGGCCCAAGATACAAATGACGAATAAGGTTTTCCTTCACCGGGTTTTCCTTCGCCGGTTTGTGACTTTATCGGACACCGTAGCAGCACTGCCTTCCTCCCAATGGTGACAGCAGCGACAGCCGTGCACGTGGATTCTGACGGAAACAACAACGGCGACTCCCTCCCTCTCCTCCAATAAAAATTCTAACTCCTTCAATTTCAAGGTGATTCATTGCCCAAATATCTATTGTTAGCGTTAATTCATAGATTAGGATCTTGTTTTTATTAATCTTGCGATTGATTGTGAAATTGTGTGACTTTATTGTTGGGATTATTGATTTGGATGTTAAATTGGTTATTGGTTGTGTTGGGAATGGATTCTCGGCCGGATTCCGGCGAGTCACGGTGGAGGACAGTCGGCAGTGGCCAGGGATGGGATAGACAAGTTCAATTTGGACCCAATTCGTCCAATTGGGTCAATTCAGGTCCAATCAAGTTAGTTTTTGTGTAATCCAGTTGGTGTTGATCTAATTGGGATGATTTTGTTCCAATTGGGTCTAAATTGGGTCAAATGGGTTTACTGCACAACCTTTTGGGCAAATGCGTGTGTTCGGGCCGGTTTGTGGGGCTGCCCGGGCCCGCTGTTTCGCCAATTCGGTCGGTTTGGGCCGGCTTCCGAGGGGGCACTAAGGCTGTCAGGCAGTGGGCAACCGCCAGGAGGTCTAAGGTTGTTGGTTTCTGGGTTGCAGGTCGGTCCGGCGGGTTGTCAGACTGATCTAGTGGTAATCGGTACTGTTCTGACAGGTGCAGCGGGCCTGAGGATGGAGTCCTCGGTCCCGAGTTTGCGACACATGTCAGTTATTTAAATATTGTTTGGTTTAATCTTGCTGTTTGAGCATGACCATAATTAGTGAGAAGTGATTCTTCCGATAGGTCTGAGTGCATTGTTCTGTTTATGGAAACGTTTAAGGGCTTATTCTCTCTTGAGAAATTTGATGGAAATTGGCCACCTACTATACCTAGGCGGATCTGAATTGAATTGGATAGTTTAATCACCAATAGGACTATTGTTAGGTTCGGGCCTTGTGGAGCATGTTTGCATATCCAATGGTCCAGGGTTCAAAGCATACGTACGAGAGTCACTGTCCTACCTAAGGGTTCCTTAGTAGGGACTCCAACCCGCCCATTGAGGATTCTCTTTGGGTTTGTCCGAGCATCCGCCTCGAGGGATTCTCTCGAGTGTTTGTAACTCAAGTCTGTTGAGTTAAGCCTTAGTGGTGTAGGTTCAGAATTAGCCCATTGAGAATATATGAATTGGAACTGTTGGATTCTTGTATCTGAAAATAAACGTTGATTATTTGTTGGAATGCATGAGTTCAACCCTTTCTGTGTTGTTAAGTGTTGACTCACAGGTTTTGATAATTGACAAACACAATTTATTCAAGTCAGGATCAAAGTGCTACAACGACAAACACGAA